TCCCCCCCCCCCCCCCCCCAACACAACCCTACCCTACCCTTTTTTTTAATGTGGGATAATATGGAAGACAGGAATTATCGTTCTGTGTTTGTTCCTTCTTGGAAACTCTTATTTTGGGACAACGCTGTTTGATGGGTGTAAAGAGTTAGAGTTGACATAGCTAGTGTAAAATGTACCTTACATTTTTGGAACTACAACTAATTGATACAAAGTTCTTAATGTTTTCCCATGAAAAATTACTTGTTATATTGAGCTTTGAGTAGACAGTTCGATACCATTGCGCTAAAATCACAGTTAAAGCATTTCTGTATCATATGGATAGTATATCAGTTGACTCCCAGTTTTTCATCTTCTGCATAGTGGCATTAAAATCCAAATTATGCTCTCCCTTCTCAGGTGTTGTTGTTGCAGTTTGTTTTATGGTCACGGTGGGTTTAATATGCTGTTTTGTTCGACGACGCTCCAATTTGAAAACCAGAAACAGAACAAAACGCCAACTTTGTGAAACAGGCATCAGCATTCCTCTCCATCCCTACAAAGAAATTGAGAAAGCCACCGATTGCTTCTCAGATAAACGAAGACTGGGAAGCGGGGCCTATGGGACAGTATACTCAGGAAAACTACACAATGACGATTGGGTTGCTATTAAACGGATCAAGCACAGGGATACTGATAGCATTGAGCAAGTCATAAATGAGATCAAGCTCCTCTCTTCAGTGAGCCATGTGAATCTCGTTCGCCTCTTAGGTTGCTCAATTGAAAATGGTGAACAAATTCTTGTCTATGAATATATGCCTAATGGGACTTTATCTCAGCATCTACAAAGAGAGAGAGGGGATGGACTCACCTGGCCAGTTCGTCTTAACATTGCCACTGAAACTGCTCAAGCCATATCCCATCTGCATAATGCAATGAACCCTCCCATATATCATAGAGACATCAAGTCCAGCAACATATTACTGGACTACAATTACAAATCGAAAGTAGCTGATTTTGGCCTATCGAGACTAGGCATGATCGAATCATCCCACATCTCAACTGCACCACAGGGGACTCCAGGATATCTTGACCCTCAGTATCATCAGAACTTCCATCTGTCTGACAAGAGTGATGTTTACAGTTTTGGGGTACTTCTAGTTGAGATGATAACAGCATTAAAAGCAGTGGACTTTTCCCGACCCCCAAATGAGATAAATTTGGCTAATCTTGCCATTGATAAGATAGGTAAGGGGTGTTTAGAGGAGATAATCGATCCATTACTTGAACCACACACGGATGCTTGGACTCAATCATCAATCCACAAAGTGGCTGAGCTTGCATTTAGATGCCTTGCATTTCACAGGGACATGAGGCCTACAATGATGGAAGTGGCAATTGAATTGGAACAAATCAGGCTATGTAGATGGATGTCTTCGGAAGAGACCATCACTGCTTCATCCGAGGCATCCTCTTGCTCATCGACTTCTAATCTAAGCGAGAAACCACTAGGCCTGAAAGTTGAGAAGCCTGAACTGAAAAGAGGAGGTCTATTTGACAGTGGGAATTCAATGGACAGTGTGAAGGACTACTCCCCAGTCTGTGTGCAGGACCTCTGGTCAAGTGAACAAAGCTCCCCATCATCCAACAGTTTGCTCAGTAATGTAATTGAGTGATCTGAAGCTGCCATTGTTTTGGGTGATTAGCTTATGCACTGTTTGGATAGCATTGCAAAGGTTCTTCTCTGTTTGAGAGCAAAATTTGCTGTAACATTTGGTCTAAAAAAAGCTAACATTTCTTCATCTCATGTTAATAGTATCATCAAGGATTTTTTGCACTGTCATTTTTCTTTCTCAATGTCGTTTTGCTTGTACAGCTATACTTTTAAATAGTGGTTAGAACTGGGATCTTGTTTTACCACTCTTTAATTTCATACTGAAATAGAAAGAAGTTTCTTTTCAAGATTACCAAACCCATAGAGTTATGCAAGCATCATTCAAATCATTTTTTGATACCTTATAAATTGAATTGAAAATCAGTAGATTACCGAGAAGCCGAGATGAGTTTGTGTTTAGGAATGTGAGTCCAGTCTTAAACAAGCCGAACTTGACGAATCTTAATGTGCTTAGACTCGGCTCATCTTGCAGAAGGGGTGCTCAGATTTCAGCCCAACCTTGAACATCAAAAGTTATTTTGTTCAAACTCGATTTGGGTATAAAAATAGTAATTCAAACTTGGTTCATCTAAACTCAATTTTTTCAGTAAAATCTCGAATCCGAGCTCTGGCTGGAGCTTAAACTCCGGCAACAATAGTATTAGAATAAAAATTTTGGGTTTAACCTTAAGGATAGTCCAAACGATAATAAGGACGAGCTGTAAATTCAGATATCATGAATTCAAATATTGACAATCCTTTGGTATTAGGCCATGGGGGATTTATCCCTTATGAATATCTTAGTCCCGATGTGGATAGTCTGTCTTTGACCGAATATCTTAATCCGGATGTAAATGACCTATTTTTGACCCGACCATGAAGAAAATTAAGAGATAAAGGGATGTGAATACTTTTTTCAAAACTCATTCTCTTTTAAGTCATCTTTTTCATCAAATAGTTGTCAATAACAACACATTTTAGAATATTTTCAAATTTTTTTTAAAATATATATTTCATAATTACCCCTACCATAAATAGGGCATACATAATTGGCAACTTTTATATTTCTAATAACTAAATATTAGAATGTGAATCTTTCAAGATTTCTTTTGATATTCATATACTATTTGAATTTTGAAATTTTATATATATATATTAACATCAAACAGTAACACGCTTAAAAAAAAATTGTAACATCAAATGGTAACATGCTCAACAAAAAAATAGTAACATCAAAGATTAAATATTTAATTAAGTTTTTTATTAAGTATGTTACTGTTTAATGTTATTATTTTTTAAATATTTAATTAAATTTTTTATTGAGTATATTACTGTTTGATGTTACTATTTTTTTGTTGAGTGTGTTATTGTTTGATATTACTATTTTTTTGTTGAACGTATTACTGTTTTATGTTACTATTTTTTTTATTGAGTGTGTTACTGTTTAATATTATTATTATTCTATATATACGAGTGTATGTATATATATATATATATATAAATGTTACTATTTGATATTACTATTTTTTTGTTGAGCATTTTACTATTTGATGTTACTTTTTTTTTTATTGAGCGTGTTATTATTTAATATTATTATACTAGCAATTGCCCATACCTGAAGGCACTATATAAAACAAAACAATCGCAAGCAAATACTGTTGCACACGAAAACGTTGTACAACTCAAACGAAAAAAAATATCATTGATTCAAATAATATAAAAATTATAATATGTTTCAAATACAAACTTGCTAAACAATCAAAAGAAACAAAAATTATAGAAAAAACAATTCTGGGTTCTATTGTGCCCTTTTGAATGCTTTAAATTCTTTATGAGAAAACCAAATTAATAACCGATCCCACCATAACTTTTAGGTGCCAAACATGGTGAGACTTTAAAATAGGACACATTCTAAAAATATGATACATAAATCCACTTTAAAAAGATGCTATTGCCATCTTAAAAAAAATTTCTAGTTCAGATCACTTTTTTAATTTTTTTCATAATGTTGTTCACTACATGAAAACTGATGGGACATTTCTGAAATACTCCAAGATGAAGACACGTGTCCTCGGTGTCACTGATCCTTGTTTATCGAGATCACGTACCCATCGGGGTCACAAGTCCCCTCTACCCCGAGGTACTTATCATGGGATCGAGTGGCATCCAATACGTTTTTATGTACCGACACGTACCCTCGGTCTGATATGGTACATCGGTCGCTAGGCCTCCCCCCTCTCGGATTCAAGATGTACCTTTTCCTAGGCCTCTCATCCATGATGAAGTTTTCTGCTCCAGCAGAGGTTATTGATGCACTGGTCACTAGCTTAGGCTAAGCTAGGTTAGCTATCATGACCTCGTCTTACACAATTGATGTCAGAAGGCACAGGAGGCGGGGGCCACAGCCAATGAGGAATGGACGCGTGGCATATTGTGTCACATCAGAGATAGAAAGACCGCATTACCTTGCTGACACGCGACTTGGGAAAACAAGCATTTAATTACACCATTCCCTTGATGAGACTGCATTCAATGCGGTAAGACTCAGAAGTGAAAGGCAATAAATGTCTCTAAGGTTGGGCATTTATTGCATCCTCCCCGAGAGGAGCTCATTGAACCGTCGGCAGGCCGATGACACAGACTTGATTGTTCGGGGTCCCGAGCAGTTAAGAGAGAAGACATTCCTCATAGGAATCAGTGCGCACGTTGCCTGTATCTAATGATCACCTACTGACCACACTAACAACAATCATGAGTATTTGAGGTATAAATACTCCTCACTAAAGGCAAGAACAGGAGGTGAAACTTTTGCTACAAATTATACTCAGTGTTTTCTTCTTCCTCTCTCTCAAAAACTGACTTGATCGTCGGAGGGGATACGCCGAAAAATACTCCGGCGCCCTTCTAACTTGTTCTTCTTTGTTCCAGGAACCTTTCTTCAGCCTTACTGGATCGTTCCTTTGATCCGCGAGGGTCTCCCATTACCGTTCCAGGTTACCATCGGATCTCACAGGCTAGTCCAAGCAGCGTGGTTGACCACTCAACTGACTCACTCGAGTTCACCAAGGGAGAGATCTGTTCTTGTTTTTATATTGTGCAAGATCTAGCACGCACAATCTGGCACCGTCTGTGGGAAACGACTAGTTTTCCTAATTTTTTCTCTATAAAGAACAGTGACCATGGTGAACACTCGACAAAAAGGGAAAGGTCCCCACCAAAGAAGTCTCGAATTACAAGCTCCCTATCACCACGGAGGTAGGGATCACACTGATGGGAATAAAAATGCCTCTACTCAGTCAAGAGGGGTTACCCCTCAACCCAGTATGGGAATCAGGTTAGGAGGATCAGCCCCCCTGGCTCGTCAGCTGGCGGAGGTGATCGAGGAAAAATTTGGCGATAGATTACGACAACTGAAAAAGGACAATGTGAACGTCCTAAGCCGGCTCAACGAATTTGCCGCCTCCGGCGAAGGGTCGAGGGACTCATTCCTCTCTCGTGGGCTCCCCGCCCGGGAGGCAAAAACGAAGGATCTAAGGAATCATCTAAACAACAAGGCAGAAAGCTCCAGGGCCCCAAAGCGACCGAGAACAAACGATCGCCCTCCTAACGACCATTCAAGGAAGGCAAGGCCGTTAGCCCTGGACGACCTCCGGCGAGGATTGTCTAGACGGAGAAAGGGAGATGAGTCCGAGGAGGATTCTACCCTATCTACACGGCGCCGAGGAAATGGGGGGCCTATTGATGAACTCAAAGACTTCAGAAGACATCCTGTCAGGGAGGAAATTGATCTCAGAGCCCGGTTGGAATCCAGGAGAAAGAGTAAGGCTGTCTAGGATGAGGCCGAAGACGAGGTCATGCAAACACCCTTTACTAGGGAGATCGGAGAGAAGGAGGTTTCAAGAAAGTTTGTCATGCCGAGGTTCAAAACTTATGACGGGCGGTCCGATCCCGAATCCCATCTCAGGCAATACAAGCAGATAATGTCTCTCTATCATTCGAACCAACGATTCCTCTGCCGAGTGTTTCCTATGAGCTTGGGGGACTCTGCGATGAAGTGGTTCGAGGTGCTTCCCCCCAACAGTATTGGATCGTGGAAGGAATTGACGAGGCAGTTCCTAGCTCGATTCATTACAGGGAGTAAGCGACCCAAAGAAGTTGGATCATTGCTAACGCTCAGACGTAGAGAATCCGAGACCCTTCGCTAGTATCCCATCCGATACTGGGAATAGGTAAATGAGGTAGAAGGCTGCTCGAAAGTCATGGCAGCAGCGTCTTTCAGGCTCGGCTTGGCAAGGGACACAGACCTGTACCGATCCCTGACCAAGAAGACTCCCTCCGATATGGGCGAGCTGATGGCCCGGATAAAAAAATACTCAAAGATCGAGGACGAGATGGGAAGCAGCAAAGGCCGAACCCTCCAACCTAAGAGAAAGGAGAGGGAGCGGGAAGATACTCCCCGAAAGGGATTGCTACCCCCTCCAGGGGGTTCGTCCAAAGGAGTTCACACTATATTCAAGGAACCCATCTTCAAGTTGCTCCATAAAATCAAGCATGAGCCGTTCTTCAAGTGGCCGCCCAGGATGCAGAGCGATCCCTCCACCCGTGATCAAAATGTTAGGTGTTCCTATCACCGGGATTTCGGACATCGCACTGAAAGCTGCAGGGCATACAAATCGTTCTTGAAAAAATTGGTCCGAGACGGATATTTGAAAGAATACATAGAGCCCAGGCCAGAGGAGAGACACACCCTTGCCCCGACTGAGGAGCCGGACAACGTCATAGATGTCATCCATGTATGTCCCCTGAGAGCGCCCCACGTCCAAGGAACTCGAGTCTGACCTCAAGAGGGTAGCTTTTACAAGGAAGGTAGCCGAGGATGATGGGGGGCCACCCATTAAAAGGGACAGGACTGGTGAGCCCAGCATCACGTTCTCCGACGCGGACTTGANAGAGCGCCCCACGTCCAAGGAACTCGAGTCTGACCTCAAGAGGGTAGCTTTTACAAGGAAGGTAGCCGAGGAT